CGTTTGTGTGCACGTCTATGCATATTTCTGTCCATATTTCCAGGGAAGGGCTGGGTGATAATTAAATATGGTTACTTATAGACTTTCAGCAGAATCACATCATGAAAATCTGAAATTTGTCCATGTCACGGAGGAGCGCAATGTTATTGTTTCACAAATGTATGTCGTAAACTGTACATAAAGAGTCTGTTCTCACCTATTGCATACTGTCGGACATACAGCAGTTCATTGTTTTGAGCGTCAGTTTTGTTATTTATATGATTTTGCATGACTTTCCCATATCAATCCACCATCGCCAAGTCCTTGTTCAGGGTGTGCTTGCATATGCGTGTGTATGCGTGTGGGCGGATGATTGCACAGATTCCTCATTCATCAGTAACAAAACTCAAACCTTCACTCTCAAGATAAGATCTCTTATCCTACTGAATGCATATGAAGAGACATATGCGGCCTGTTACTTTGCGGCTATTGTCACGGAAGAGCGCGATGCAGGAGATGGTGCTGTGTTGACAGTTGTATCCATGCTGAGGAGTTTACCGACAGAAATAAATCAGTTCCACGCACTCGACGGGAAAGCGTAATTAACCAAGCCAAACAGACACAAACAGACTCGCATTTATACATTTGTGCATCCACACAAGAACACATCCGCTTGCACAAGCACACACACACACACACACACACACACACACACACAAACACAGCATGGAGAAACATACCCAGGCAAACACGGATCTCACACACACACACACACACACACATATGTTCATGGGTAAACTCAGGGATGCAAACAGACTCTGGCGGCTGCTGTAAAAAAAATATATAATAAATAAAAAAAATGTGCTTATGCAAGCCCAATGGAATATCAGTACAAAAATGTACTTATAGGGGTAAATATACACTGCACTAACATAAACAATGCCAGTCTGAAAAGTAGAACACTGTGAATGACGGCTGTTCACTGCGCAGGCAGTCACAGGGGGTGAGAGAGAACACTTTCACGCAAGCTGGAAAATAGATAAAATAAGATGAGAGGGCACAGTCACAGGCAAAAGTGTACAAAGGGAGAAAGTGTGAGAACAAAAAGCGGGCTTCCTGTCAGAGGCTCTCCTGCACAATCTGTTTTTGAAACAGCTGGATTGTGCAGGATTTGTTACAATTACAGTTAGAATCCATGTGCTGTCACACTCTACTTCAGAGATAGACAGATGTTTTGTATTTGCAGATGACAGGGGTCAGTATGCAGAGTGCCATACAGTGTGTGGGCGGATGGGGGTAGGCAGAGGGATGACCACAGGGTTTAGGGAGTGGTCCATGTGAACAGATGGTCCCTGGTTGCCACCCAAGATCCCATTAAGAAAGATGGCAGGGCTGACCTATTTCTGGACCCACCATGCCGTGCAAATATACTGCACAGAGAGATAGGGCGAATGTCTGCTTTCAGAGGTTATAATCCTTGTTGTTTTTGTTGGACATTATGGGATTACATACGTTGTCACTGCAGCATTAAAGCAGGAGTCAATCAGATCAGATGCTCTGGTAATGCCGCACAAGAATTCCGCCCAATCATATTCCTCGCTGTCCAGCTAGTCATTTCCTTGGACATTGTGCCCTTGAGTGCTTAATGAGGTCTTTCTACAAAGCAGCCGGGGTGATGCGGTTGTCAAGAGACCGATGAGCCATCCACAGACCAGAGGTGCTCTGCCTTTCACCCATGTTCCACATGCAATGTCTTTCTGTGGACAGCTGTCTGACAGGCCTCGGAGAGACACTTCCTCTCTAAGCTGCAGCTGGCACTTAGTCGCTAAGTTGCTTCCTGCTCCGCACAAGTCCCCACACTTGAGGCAGGTCATGTGTGAGTGAGGTAGTAAATATTTGATAAGGTAATATTGTAAAAGTGATGGGTGATACAAAAAGCTAATGACCCACACAAAAGAGCAACACTGGCTCATGCTAGCATCAATCATTTCACCCGGTATTTTATAAAAGGTACATAAGGTGACACGGAGCCTAATCGAAATTGGATATATGGCTCTGTGTGTGTGTGTGTGTGCGTGAGATGGTGGTTAGAGAGGCTCATGCATGTAGGGTACAGGGGCTAAGATCAGACAATGACAGGGGGCTTTGGCATACGACCAGTCTGAGGAACCAACATATTATCAGCACCTTTGTCTCTGGAAACCCCATGAGGCAAAAAGACGTACACATACATTCTCACTCTCTCACACACACACACACACACACACATGCCTGTGTGCACCTGCTGCTCTCTGTTTACTGTTATTACATGGTCTGAGCAATGCCATGAGCCATAATAGCTTTCTGCTCTCGCAGCCTCTAGCTCAGCGATGGGACTCCTTTAAGACAGGTCGCTAATGATCAGAATGATTCCCATGCAGCACATGTCTGGTCTTAATGGTTTTGCAGTGTGGGTGGATGTGTGTGTTCATTTCATTCCTTTCTCATCAGAGCAACTATTTGGGCAAAGTCATATTAGGCACCAATAACAATACGTTATTGGTGCCTTGTTCTTCGCTCAGCGGTGATTCGGCCCAGCATGGAGAATACATACGGGGACTCCTGGGCCAAGCCGCTGTCAGGGGTGGATTTAGATTTGTCTGGTGATTCAATAGGCATGGGGGCACACTTGATCTTTCCCTGGCAGTGAAGTCATCAAGGCAAACAAATGAATGGAGATGGAGGGCTCTGCCTCTCCGTCTGTCTCAATCTGCTCCGGTGCTTCCCCCTTGATAGAATGGAGCCTGTATCAAGCTTTAATCCTCCCTGTCTGTGTGTGTGTGTGTGTGTGTGTGTGTGTGTGTGTGTCTGTGTGTCATTTCTGCTCTGCCCAGGCGGACACCCCCCTAATGTCAGATAACTGAGCGCCACTACACAGCAGTTGCCATGGTTACCAACCAGGTTCTGTGTACACGGACACTCGTCGCAATTTTGATCTGCAGTGAAGCACTAATGGGACACCAAAGAGTCCCACGAAATCACCCACCCACACGCACGCGCACACACACACACACACACACACACACATACATTCTCATAGATACACAAGCTGCCATGCATGTACTGTATATGTGGAGAAATATTAGCATACATACATCCACAAATATACACATTCCACCCACATGAAGAGAAAGTCATTGACTTACACCGAGTGCTCATCAGTACATATAGGGCTACGTATCATTAGACTGAGCACATAAGCAAACACAGCCTGCTGGGCAGAATTATCAGAAGTAGAACAAATCACAGCAGGTTATACACCGTGGTATCTCCATGCCTGGAAAACCCTTTTAAAGAAACCAGTGCAGTATTTCTCACTGACTCACACAACCCCTCTCTGTTTACCTCCCCATCTGCCCGTCTGTCTCTCTATCGGTACGTCGGTCTCTATGTTTCTTTCCCCTCTCTAATCGCTCGCGTGCACACACACGTACACATACATGACAGATTGTGAGTGCTCACTGAGCGCAGAAGATGAAAGTGAGAGGGAGCGGTGTCCATGCCAGCAGAGCTGTGTGAGTGGTGAAGTGATGAAATAGAGGCTCATTTAGTAAATTGACAGAACCCTTCAGGATTCTTCCCCTCCTTCACAATTAAAAAAGGCCTGAATCCTTCTAAACTCCCAGCTATTCTCACCAGGCGTGAAGAAACTGTCACATTCCACCAAACGGTAACAATGACAGTGTTCGTATTTTAGTTTGAATCCATCTCTCTCCCGACTCCCTCTGCTGCTTCATTCGGTCCACAGATGTGGATGTTTGTGCAAGACAGACACACTGCTGTTAATACTCTGATGCAAGTTAAGATGTCAAAAGAAAGCTGGATAAGACCACCGAACCACACCCTAATGTTCTCAGCATTAACATAGTTAGTGCTGATGCAGAGACCCTCAACATCTTATCTCGATGGGAAAATCCCAAAACTGATTAAGACACAGAAAAGCTGTTGTTCCACTCAAGTGCATGTCGCCCAGCATTGAAGTGACGGGGTTACTTTGACTGAGCCCCAGTTCTAATCAGACACTGAAGTCTTTTCATAATCAAGGCAGCTAATAAAATGAGGCTAGCCGTTACAGACTGCGTGCTGCTCATAGCTAACTGTCTGCCGCTCGGTGGAGCTAAGTGGCAGACATCTTGCTAAGCCGAGAGGAGGAGCACACGGAAAATGCTGCTGACGTGAAGGCGGTTTTTAATTTGAATTGAGTGTATTGCGAGTGCGGGGCGGTTGCATGAGGCAGCACAGGACAGAGGAGACACTTTTGAGATTGAATCAAATGTTCAGAATGTGTTCGTACAACCTCAAACTGTGTCCTTATTACAAGCCGTGCTTTTGGGACATGTATCCTTGAGGTCATCCAAGTCACTTGGTATTACAATATTATATTTATGAGTTAGACCGTTACACGGCAAAGAGTTGTAGAGTGCAGGAGAGATTCTGGGGGCAGAGTGAAGGATGAAGCTAAAGAAAGGAGGGTCAGTGGGGGAGAGGGGTTGTAATTCATACCAAGAGAAAAGCCACAGTGACAACCTCTTACCTACTGCACAAACACCATTCTCCCTCTCATACTTGACATATAATATAATAAATCTCCCCCTCACATACACACAAACGCGTGCATGTACACACACACTCATCTGTTCAGCTGGCAGAGGCACAGCAGAGTGAATTGCAACGTGCCGCACAAAGGCCATTGCAGCAGAAAGAAGACTGGACAGTGCCAGCTGACTGAGATACATCGCGGACTGAACATCCGCTAGGTTATGTGGGAAAAGGGCATCAAATGAATTGCCCTACAGTATTATACAGTGGATTCATCTAAAAGGACTATTTGGGTGTGAAAGCCAGTAGCAAGCTTTGTGCCTGAGGAAAGCCCGAACTGCTGCACTTACCTAAGTGTGTGTTGGGCAAATTATTAGTGCAAATGAATTTGAGTCTGGATTTGGGTTCTGACATGTATATCCATCCAAATAGGGTAAACCTACCAGAACTCTGCCAGTGAGTGTCTGAGCGGAGATCATGACGCCGGCCCAGTCTTTGACTGAAGTCATCCATCCCACCTCGCTGATTGGGACGACCTCCTCCTTCCCATCGCCCTTTGGTTTATCTGCTGACGGATTGTTGGCGGGATTGATCACCTTCTGAGCCTCCTGTGAGAAAAAGATAATAATCTGCGTGAGCAAATGGAGCATATTAAAAAGATAAAGAACATAGAAACAGGAACATGGTCTGCTTTAGGGATAAGGAAAATCGACAGCGTCGAAGTCAAAGGCACCTCATTAAAGTGGCATTTACCAGTGAGGATAGAAAGACATAGTTGGCTGTGGGCAAAGCGATTCCTCTTGCAGCAGAAAACAATGTGCAGACATCAAAACCTCTAAGAACACCCCTGTTTGCTGAACATAATCAACAAACAAAGAAATTCCAGATACCAGCCCCTATTTTAAAACGGTATCCTGTTAAGTGGAAGGCTAAAGGCTTCTGTACCCCGGAGCTCATGCTCGTCCGCATTGATGACGAGCCACAACCTCGGAGGGCAAAACAAACAAAAAAAAGCCTGCGATTGCAGCCATCACTCCATGATGGCCTCCATCTGCTATATGTCGAATGTGCGTGTCTGAAAAAGTTTGAGTGCATGCGTGTTAGATAACTACAGAATGTATGTGCAGTCACTCTGCCCATTCGGCTCACATGGCTCTATAAGTTAATTGTTCCGCAGGGTTGAGAGAGTAAAACTGTTGTTCTCGTGCAGGCCTTTCAACGTTCCTTCTCGTGTCCGACTGAGCGAGCAGAGTTGCATGGCAGTTCATTGACATGCTTTGCTTGGCACAGTCATCGCATGCAGCTGTTCCTCTCCAGCCGTTCACTCACTCACTCCTGATTTGACACAAGCAGTCACTCAGTGTCCCTGTCCTTCTGGCAGAAAAGGGGAATGAGTAGATTTCCCTGTGTTTTTACCCCTTCGAGGCAACAAAAATACTACAGTTGGAAGCACAAAGATGCAGAGCGAAGGTTTGTGTGTGTGTCACTCCCAGCCTCATAAAACCACGCAGTTAAGCCCAGCAAATGGCATCCACAGAGAATCCCTGGAATTACAATAACTTTCGACCCTCTTGATGGCGGCCCGCTGCTTCTTTCCAAGGAAGCAGGCTCGTGTTACAGCAGGGTACACACGCAGCACTTGGATTTGCATGTTACAATGTCCCTCCTCACAGCGACATCTGACAAGCAGCTATCAAAGCAGATTATGTGCTATGTCAACAAAGTCAAATTTGCTTTCCAGTACTGTACGTGTCACATTGCTCCGGTTTGTTTGGATGACCACATAACGTTCAAAAACGATGACGTAAGTTAAAAAAAAAAAAAAAAAGATTTGTGCTTACGGTTTATTTTTGTTGTTACACAAGACACACTTCACGTTCCAGGAAGAAAGGCCAAACAGCCATTGGGGTGACCATGCAACACAAAAACAAACCAGACTGCAACTTGACTATTTCTGCAGGGCTAAAGAGCAGTGCTATTACAGATGAGCCCAAGAGAGTGCTCTGTCCATTTCAAGAGGATTGTCTGGTCAAATTGGATTACATTTCATAATGATATGGCATGGACACAGCTGCCATTTTCCTAATTTGATTCCAACCCCAGAACAATGCCAATAAACTGGCCCTAAAAAAGCCTGACTTAGTCATAAGATCATTATCTGCTCCTGCCGCCGGGCCTCTCAGTACTGCGATGGATAATTCAGTTACTTGTGCTTTATATAATCGTTAAGCAGCTTAGTGTTAGGAGACTAACAAACTTTTAAAGTACCTATCATGAGTGTGATTTGAAGCATTTAGCTTTGTCTTTGAAAGTCACACACCTGGTTATAAATGGTATAGCTGCCATTAACTGGAAGCAGACTGATCTTCTGATATTTGGGGATTCATATTGTGTGTACGGTCCACAAACACGTTAATCCCCCGTACAGAAATAGTGCAAATATTATTTGCCAACAAAAGAAGTAGAGGAGGAGGACAGGGATCATATGCGTATCTAAAGATTCTCATCCAAACTTCAGTCTCCACAACGTAGCCAGCATGCATCTCGATTGTCACATGCTGCAAATACTCAGTAAAGTGTGTATGCATGTGGGTCACAGTACACAGGGATGTCTAAGGTTTCACTCTGATTGGCTGTGTGCCTGCTCGATAGCACTCCAGGCATGTTGCGTTGGCGTAGTAGTATGTGTTAGTCTGTGCTCAGCAGTTACTTCTTAGCCAGAGGGCCCCACCAACTTCACACTCCACACAGTTATACCACAGTAGGAACACACCACATCCCACCAGAGCTACTGTATGTCACGCAAGACACGTCTCACAGTAGCAGAACCTGTTCTTAGCTCTCCTCACTACTGTTTCCTCCAAATTACGGCTTCAGACATCGATCCTGCCACAACACATTTCTGGTAAACGCTGCTAACTGACTGGTTTGCTACATCACATCACGGGAACACCAAACAACAATGTCTTCGTGGTAGACACGGATTGCACAAGGATTTGAAGACATGAAGAACATGTCATGTATAATGCGTACTCTGTGTCTAGACCTCCACGGATGCCAGGATGAAATGGGAATAGCAATTGTCACTGGTACGCCCCTGAACACGGAGGCTAGAAGAACACATTGAGCAGCAGTAACGTTTTACTGTGTGCGCGTGTAGTGGAGGGGAACACATGAATAATGGATGCGGTCACAAACTGATGGTTGGGCAGATCGGATGAGACAATGTAAACAAGGAATTTCTTCTAGTTCATTTGTGGGGCCGGCGGTAGGCCTGAGCAGAGGGAGAGAGGAGCACTGAAGCAGCCTGCCATGGGAGAATCCATCTGCTGGCTATATATACACACCTGTGATGACAAACTGAGAGAGACAGTAAAAGAGAGAGAGAGAGAGAGAGAGAGAGAGAGAGAGAGAGAGAGAGAGACAGGCTGGGGAGAGAGGGAGCAGCAGGGGTCGGTAAATGTGTTTCTATACTCAAAAGGGGGAAAAGTGATGTGATGCAAGAAACAAAGATTTCTAGATAAATAAATATCACATCAAAGTGAATGGTGTGTTTGTGCACACCTGGTAGACAGGTAAGTAGGACAATGAAGTCCTTTAAAGCCCTAAGTTTATTGGAAAAAAAAATAAAGTTTCATGTGTCTTTGAAGTTATAATCCTTAATATTCTCATAAAAGCAAACCCTATTTTTTTTATGAGTGGTCGGGTCTCCTCAGCAATATCCATTCAATGTTTATACATTCAGTAATCACCTCTCTATATAGTGTCTTTGTTGTCATGGCATAGTATAAAGTATAAAGCAGCTTATCAGCGTTACTGCTTTTAAGTTTATCTTATTGACATCAGCTGGTTCGGAGCTGTACTAAAATACTGTCAATACAAACCAAGCATTTGCTGCTGCTGCTAGTTCACATTGAAACTATTTGACTGGCAAAACATGGGTTGGTAAACACAATGTGTTCGTCACAGAGATTAGCCCCGACAGCAATTGCTCATTCTGCTTCTATAAAACAAGGCAGCGTCCTTTTTTGGGATTTTTGTGTCCATTTTTTCTTCTTAGATATTGCATGGAGCACCACGGTGAGCGGTTAGATGAAGAGCTGCAGGTAACAGGCCTCACACCTCCACCCTCTCAGCAAGGTAAACAACTTCTACTGAGCCCTGCTGTATTTTTTGACGGACTTCTTATTAAAAACAAACTTGCTGTTGTCACCAGTAACCATTACTGGTGTAGCAATTAGTGAGCAGATTATGAAAATGATTTCCTGTTTGGAATGTTTGCACTGGTTCTCCTTTGATCTATTAATGTTTTTGAACTTTTCTTTTAAGTTCAGTCTTAAATGTATGTAGTTCAACCCTCTACTTTAAGGAACCTTTTTATAACGTAACAGATGAACACAGTTAATATTAGGATTGTAGCAATTAACAGAGTACACAGGGGAGGCCTGGTAATAATGAGAAAGCGTGACACAGGAAAAATAGACAGAGAGGGACCGACGGGGAGTAATATACAGGACGGGGACAAACAGACAGGGGTTATGTTAGGCAAAGAAGGACACCTACTCAAACAAAGAAGCAAAGAAGATAGTATGACAGCACAATAAAGCAAGAGGGGCAGGGACAGTGACAGAGAGACACAAATTATGAGACATCAAGAGAGACAGGAAACTGAGCAAACACAGTACAAGCAGACAGGGAGGGGACATTGACACAGAGACAAAGATACTTCAAGACAGGGAGGTAAACAAATAGGGGACAGAGAGACAGCAGGACAGATTGGGAGCAAGAGAAAAGGGGAAGTGAGAGTGAGGGACCGGAGACAGAGAGCGAGACAGAAAGAAAAGACAAGAAAGAGAGACAGGAGCACGCCCATGTGACTCCGCTGATCTAACAGGACTTGGCTTAAGCGCAGCTGTTCCTCTGGCTTTCGTCCGCATCGTTGGGGAAAACTCTATTCCAGTGTGAGAGGCTATTTATAGCCTCACCCAGGGAGACGTGAAACTAGTGAATCTCATAACATGCTCTGTTCCCCGTTTGCTATTTTGATGCCGGTACAGTTACCCAGTGTCCCTGGGTTACAGGCCGACACTGGGTCAGAGCAAAACGTGAAGGGGGAGACAGAATAAGGAGCCTCTTCACATACTAATAGCACATGTACAGGTGCAAGGCTGAATCTGACTAATGCCATGTGGAGAAAAGATGTTATTTCCGTGTATAGGTCATGCCTGCTGAACCATATAGAATTAAAAAGGGGCAAAAGGTACAACTCACATTACTATCAGGTCATGTGAAGTGGCATGTGACTTGAGGGACGCATCCCTGCAACAATAACTTGGTGTTTATATACAATATTTTACCGCACAACACAGAGATCACAGTGCAGAAATAAAGAGGAGAATTCTGATTTGAGATTACGGGACTGTGCAGGCCAAAGCCTGTCGATCCAGAGGTTAAGGGTTTACCTGCCTTGTGTTTGATTTAGGGATTACACAGGTTTCAGCCTGGAATGCAATCTGCTCTGGATGATACCAATACATGTCACCGCTATCAACACAACGCTCTGCACATGTGATACAGTAGATACTATGAACAGAGTTTATGCTCAGGG